AAACGGTGTTGTTTTATTCTAATGTCGATGTGAATTGCTAAGATGTACCAATATTTACGAGAAAATTCTACATTCTTATAACATAGCTCGAAAAATAGGTGTTTTATGAGAAGCTGAAGCAAAAATACAAATTTTTTTCTTGCAAAAGCAAAGAAATTCTTTCTTTTACTTCAAGAGTTCGTAAGGTAAATGTAAAATTAACCAAAGGTCTAAAGCGCTGTTCTAATTTCTGTGATTTAGCGGGTTTGTTGCGTAAAAGTGTTAAGTGCTTAAAAATCTTGCAGTGATAATAAGTTAACAAGAAGGAAAGTTGTTAATCGATGAAAGATAATATGAAATAGAAAAGTGCTCGAGTGTTCGACTGAATCGTACCTGTATGGGTAAATTAAGTAAGTAACTGATCATAGAACAGATGCACTTTTTTCAATAAACCTGTTCTGACACTCTCTTGTCTACTTTTCCTCTCCAATGTTTGCGTTCTTGACTGAATACATTAATTTCTGTAAAGGTAATGTACTTGTAGGATGTTATGTACGTCTCTTCATTATTACATCACGATATCAATTACTCAACATTGTTATTGTACTTTTAATAAAATTGGGAGGCAGTGGCGAAAAAGAGGAGAAAGCAAAATGAATTTAGAATGAGAAAATAGAAGAATATAACTCATGCACCCATAATAACAAATTTTTTGAATTTTGAAAGTCAACCGAAGTCGTAAAAGAAGCATGCATCCTGTCATACGTGGCCAGATCTTACCTGAACTATGACCAAGAATTTACTGATATGGTACCAATTGGTAGGTTTATGGGGTTTAGGGTTATCCTCTAATTTATATACAACTAAAACAACTAAGGACAAGTTAAGCGTAGACCATATTTAGCCACATAAAACCGGGCTGGTTGGAGCATATAAGCTCACATCACTACAGTAAGTTTGACAGTCGATGGCAGCAAATATAGCTTGTGACAAAAACAATCCGCCTTAGATAAGGTTGTTTGTTCAAAGTTTACCTCCTTAAACCTTGATACGAGGGGTTTGGGCGCAAAATAGCTTTGCAAGAGGTAAAAAATCATGAATGCAGGCTATTTTACGAACTAGGCGATAATCAACAATTTTTAGTCATTTTGAAGTGCTTACAAAAATTCTTTTAGGAAAAAATTTGTATCAAATCAGCTTTGCTTACGATTGCGTGCGCGCTATGAACACGAAAGTAATTATATTAGCACATAGGTTCCCATAGTTTTCTTTCTGACGTTTATTTACTTCTTGACTTTTTCACCAACTTACGCG